GGGGGGATAGGGGTACTCTTCCAAGAAACGACCAAAAAGTAGTGAAGGGTCAGTCACCAAAAGAAAGAAGTCATGAGGGTCGTCCAAAATGAAACGTGTTGATGAAACAGGATTGCATCTTCCTGGAGAGATCGGGTGGAAGCCTGGTAGCGTTTGGTTCCATTGAGGCCATCGCGACTTCCATATCTGTTCCTTCCTATCCGTCTCCCTAGCGCTTGTTCATTGGAAGGTGCAACGCAGTCACCACGAGGTCAGCATGGACCTGGAGAGTCAAAATCACTTGACCGATCCATTCTGCGAACTTTTGGAGAAGGAGACAACGACCCGACCTTTCATCATGCTGTTTTGACTTTCTCAATCGACATTGTTACTGCTGTGTGTTTTTGAGCATCAGATCTCTCTTGATCATAAACAACACGACACACCTACCTAACCTGGAGCCGTACCATATTATTATCTTTCCTGGTATGAGTCGCGTAAGTAGACAGTGAAGAATAAGATTTTTCGTAGAGCAATTAAACAGTTTTCTAGTGGATACATCTTCTTGAAAATATATCAAGTTTTCGGCACTCTCCTTGATGCATCTTGGCTTGTCATATGTACGTAGTCCAAATCCTCCAAACTCCGAAAATTTCCGGTGTAAGCGCAATTCCTACAACATCACAACAACACAACGCTAAAGCACGTGGTCGGTCTCCAGTACGATAGGCTGTTGCAAACCAAGAGTAGGAAAATCCGACACCGTTGAACGAAAAATTAGGACACGTCCTTCTGTTGGAGGCTACGAATGGTCGATCTTTCAACAAAGTGGGTTGCAAAACGACGCCAAAGGCCGATCTGCGGCGAGGTAGAAATTGGCCTCAACACTTCTTCCTGCTTCCTTTGCTCCATTGTAGCTCCTGAGAGAAGAGAAAATTGGTTGATGAGGTGATTGACATTCAAGCACGCAATTCGGGAGCCGAGCAAAGATTCATTGAGGCGTACTAGCCCCATTGTGCCCTGCGAGAACGGTGAATACCCCTGCCACAAGCTGCAGAGCTGCTGCAAACTGCCCCTCCATTAGCGCCCACCGACAGCCCGTGAGCCGTGGAAAGGGCCCTGAAAATCCACTCCGGCAACCGCCTCCTCCGATTAACCAACCGCCTCATACGCTAAGTACGAATACGTGAGATTCGAGGTGGATGTTGTTAGAGGCTTCCGCCTGAGTTGTCCTCGGGGGTAAAGAAAACGGCAAACCTTACTGTAGGGTGTCAAAATAAACTTAGCAAAAGTTATCCTAAACTTAGGCTATATTACCTAAGTCTTTTTGTCATTTAGGATTGAGGTCCTGTGTTTTCTTTCCTCCCCTAAGGTCGTACAGTCCCGTAGGTAGCACCGTAGCAGTAGTATGTAGTAACAGTGGTAGTGGCTAGAGTGGCCGTCAGTGGCAGGTAAGCTACTCCTTCACTTATCGGTGAATGGAGTGGGTAGACGAATGGTGTAAGATATCTCGAGTGCTCCGGCGCCAATCAAATCAGCGGCGTAGCTTTCCTTGACCACTTTTTTACCCCTCCCCCGCTTTCGGCCTGGCTTGGTTGGTCCCCTCTGATTTTTCGTCTGAGCAAGCTCAAAACGTTCTTCTACTCTCGACTCCCAATTTTTCTTCCCTTCCCTTTTCCTCTCTTCTTCATCTTACTCTTTCCCTTTGCTCTATCTCGAAAAGGATCTTTCAATTGATCCAATTTGGCACAGACAGGGGCTCTTGACCACTTTGTACGTGAAGCTCTTCACAGTTCTTCCGCCTTTCTCAACTCCCCGCCAGCTCCCCTCCATCCATCCAGTCCAGTCCAGCCCTGCTCGATTTCCTCCGCCCCTCTCCCCGCTGTCACCCCCGCCTGCACCGTGCTCTCAACCAGAACTTCAGAATAAAAGACTAACTTGACAACAACAGTTATACCCAAATCAAGAATTAGAAGAAGCAGTTGAATCAACCGCAAAGATGGTTCAGTCCGCTATCCTCGGTTTCCCCCGTATGGGTGTTAACCGTGACCTGAAGAAGGCCACCGAAGCTTGTCAGTCTTCCGCAAATCTCTGACTCGTGTCATCATCGACTAATCAAACTTTAGACTGGGGTGGAAAGATCTCTCAGTCCGACCTCCTCGCTGAGGCCAAGCGCCTCCGTCTTGCTCACTGGAAGATCCAGCAGGATGCCGGCGTCGACATCATTCCCAGTAACGACTTCGCCCTCTACGACCAGGTCCTCCACCAGATCCAGGACTTCGGTGTACGTATCTCCCTCAACTTGGAGTCATAGAACAACATTTGCTGACCCACATCCTTTAGGCTGTTCCCGAGCGATACACCAAGGATGGCCTTGACCCCATTGACCAGTACTTCGCCATGGGCCGTGGTCACCAGAAGGAGGGTATCGATGTCCCCTCTCTGGAGATGGTCAAGTGGTTCGACTCCAATTACCACTACGTCAAGCCTACTCTCCAGGACAACCAGACCTTCAAGCTCACTGACAGCCCCAAGGCCGTTGCTGAGTTCAAGGAGGCTAAGGACGCTGGCATCACCACCCGTCCTGTCCTCGTTGGTCCTGTCTCTTTCCTCCACCTCGGCAAGGCCGACCGTGGCCAGTCTGTCGAGCCCATCGACCTTCTCGAGAAGCTCCTCCCCGTCTATGAGCAGATCCTCACCCAGCTGAAGGAGGCTGGTGCCGAGACTGTCCAGATTGATGAGCCTGTCCTCGTCTTCGATCTTCCCCAGAAGACCAAGGATGCCTTCAAGCCCGCCTATGAGAAGTTCGCCAGCCTTGGTGACAAGATCCCCAAGATTGTCTTCACTACCTACTTCGGTGACATCGTCCACAACCTCGACCTCCTCCCCAAGGACGTCTATGGTGTCCACATCGACCTTGTCCGCAACCCCGAGCAGCTCGAGAAGGTTCTCGGTGCTCTCGGCTCCAACACCATCCTCTCTGCTGGTGTTGTCGACGGCCGCAACATCTGGAAGACCAACCTGAAGCGTGCTATCGAGACCGTTGAGACCGCTATCCAGAAGCTCGGCAAGGACCGTGTCATCGCTGCCACCTCCAGCTCTCTCCTCCACACCCCTCACACTCTTGCCAGCGAGAAGAAGCTGGACCCCGAGATTGCCGACTGGTTCTCTTTCGCCACTGAGAAGGCTTCTGAGATTGCTCTCATTGCCAAGGCCGTCACTGAGGGCCCTGCCTCCGTCCGCGAGCAGCTTGAGGCTAACGCCAAGTCCATCAAGGCTCGTGCCGACTCTCCCCGAACCAACGACCCTCAGGTCAAGGAGCGCCAGTCTAAGGTCACCCAGAAGGACTACGAGCGCAAGAGCGAGTTCACTACCCGTATCAGCCAGCAGCAGAAGAAGCTGAACCTTCCCCTCTTCCCCACTACCACTATCGGATCTTTCCCCCAGACCAAGGAGATCCGAGTTCAGCGAAACAAGTTCACCAAGGGTGAGATCACTGCTGAGGAGTACGACCGCTTCATTGAGAAGGAGATCGAGGAGAACATCAAGATCCAAGAGGAGCTTGACCTCGATGTCTTTGTCCACGGCGAGCCTGAGCGTAACGACATGGTCCAGTTCTTCGGTGAGCGATTCCAGGGTTATGCTTTCACCACACACGCCTGGGTTCAGTCCTATGGTTCTCGATGCGTCCGACCCCCCATCATCGTCGGTGACATCTCTCGACCTCAGCCCATGACCGTTAAGGAGTCCAAGTACGCCGTCTCGGTCTCCAAGAAGCCCATGAAGGGTATGCTTACTGGCCCCGTCACCTGCCTTCGATGGTCTTTCCCTCGTGACGACGTCCACCAGTCCGTCCAGGCTGAGCAGCTTGCCCTTGCCCTCCGTGACGAGGTCGTCGACCTTGAGAAGGCCGGCATCGACGTCATCCAGGTCGATGAGCCCGCTCTCCGTGAGGGTCTCCCACTCCGCTCCGGTGAGGAGCGTGATGCCTACCTCAAGTGGGCCGTCCAGGCTTTCCGCCTCTCCACCGCCGGTGTTGAGGACGCCACTCAGATCCACTCCCACTTCTGTTACTCTGAGTTCCAGGACTTCTTCCACGCCATCGCTGCCCTCGATGCTGACGTTCTGTCCATTGAGAACAGCAAGTCTGATGCCAAACTCCTCCGGGTCTTCGTCGACTCTGAGTACCCCCGCCACATCGGACCTGGTGTCTACGACATCCACTCTCCCCGTGTCCCCAGCGAGCAGGAGATCAAGGACCGCATCGAGGAGATGCTTCAGTTCCTTAAGCCCGAGCAGCTCTGGATCGACCCTGACTGTGGTCTCAAGACCCGTCAGTGGAAGGAGACCAAGGAGGCGCTTGCCAACATGGTTAACGCGGCCAAGTACTTCCGTGCCAAGTACGCCAAATAAATGCCAACCCATAATTGTATAAGAGGTTGATGACGGTGATGAAGGCGTATGAGGATTGTGTTAATAGCATTTTTGTGGAGGCTGTTCTTCAAAACAGCTACGATTTCAACATCGGCGTTTGGGACTGGCCTAAAAAAATGGACCAGATATGTTTGTGGTAAAATCCTAAAAGTTAACCTGTGGATTAGGATCTGGGTACGGCTGGTTTGGCGAGCATTCAACATTTGCATATACCCTCCCGATTGGGAGCAGATGAGGGTCTAAAATCAACAAATTGACCTATTTTTCATGATGATGATGATGAAACTTTTGTTCCTTCTCTACAATTGCTGTGACTGGTTGCCATGTTAAACAAATAGATGAATGTTTGTGTAGGTATTGTAAATGACATCCCCAACGTTGGAGTCATAGTGTTTTGGTCTGATGAAGTGAGGTTGGAACTCATCACGTGCCCACGCGTAGTGAGCTATCGAGCCCCACGTCACAACGCGCTTCTTTTGTTATCCTTGTCTTTCAAGCGACGATGTCAATTTAGGCTTAACGTTCTTCAATATTGAGGATTCATCACCACATGTGACCTCTGAAGCGATGCGTCACTACTCGCCAGGATGCCTCCGATCGTAATACTTGATTCTGACGATGAAGGTGAGGATGGCAGCTTTTCTCCGCCTCCAAATATACAGGCACCATTGTCATTTGGACCAGCCGAGATTGAAGCTCAGACTGAAGCTGCAAATGTTTCTTCTGGAGGTGTAAGCCGTGCGACGACATCAACAAACCCGTCATTCTTTCAAAATATTTACAATGAGCAGAATGATGCAGCCCGTGGATATGTTCCAGAGCCGACAGCCAGATCACATGATCAAGATCAACATTCAGTCTCAAGCTCTGAGATGACAACACCAGCACCTTTCAAAAGAACGGTAACGGGACTTATTGAACCCTCCTCAGTACCGTCTGAAAGGGATCAGGCAACAAAAAGAGGACACACCAACGGAAACGGTTCAGATGAATGGACCCAGGCCTCGACACCAGGCAGAAGAAAAGCACCCATGGCTGTTATGGACGATATGTGGGATGTACCAAGTTCACCTGATGAGCGCCCTGTTAGACCTAAGATAAAACTCAAGGTCAAGAGTTTGAAGGCTCAGTCTGATTCCACCTCTGACTCTCGTCACGCGCAAGAGCTGGACAAACTAGGAAAGACTCCAAGCTCAAAGGCTGGGCGATCAGATGGTTCACCTTCAGGCAAGAAGCGTAGAAAAGTCAGTCATCCAGAACCGTCTTTCCAAGGTTCTAACGATGTCGACTTGGTATTCCCCTTCATTTTCATGGCTAAAAGGGATAGCAACCATGAATCCCAGCCAGCGCCAACACCGAGCATGCTCCCGCCAACATTGCCAGTCAATCAAGACGATTCTTTCTTCATTACCACAAACCCGCTTACTGATGCCCAGAAGCTGGAGTACGAGAGTGTGCAATTGCCTTCTAGTGACAGCCAGAATCACCAACTCCCTCCGATCCGTCAGTTCGAAATCAATCTTGCGTCAAGCGGAGATGCAACAAACATCAACACTCCCAGAAGCCATGCTCATTATCTTATGAGTACCGCTCCTCCTCCGCCTTCAAGTGTGATGGACCCAAACAGAGCAGCAATCGGACAAGCCACTGGAAACAGATGGGATTCATCTCCTGACGTCACCTCCGCCATCGATTCGCCTCCCAAACAAAAAGCAACGAGACAACTAGAGCAAATAAGGAACGGTGACTCACCCAAGCCTGCAAATGACAAGACTATGCATGAACAGCAACCAGAACAACCGGAGCCTCCAGCCATGCAAGAAGATGCTCTTGATAATTATGAGCCTGAAAAGGTAACAAAGACAAGGAAATCAAGGGGCCGGCCGAAGAAGAAGACCCTGGAAGAGCCCACAGCAATGCCAGAGGCACCTTCACCTCGACCAGAGGTTGTCACGCCTGTCACGAAACCCAAGAAGAAGCGTGGGAGACCAAGAAAGTCAGATCAAACAGACGCAAGGGAGGAGAGTCCCAAAGTTGATCCGTCAGCATCTACAAACGATGCGTCGCTATCTGAAGATGCTGTGCGGCCAGAGAAAAAGCCCAAGATAGACATTGATGAGTCTGAAAGCAAAGATGAGCTAGCAGATGAAAGCGAGATGGAACCCTCGCTGAAGAACAAGAGTCGAGAAAGTTCTATCCTGAAGGAATCCGACACAAACATCCTTGCCAAGTCTGTGTCCAGTTTGGACGATGACGCGGCGTCGAAAGCTTCAGATGCAGCAACAGAAGAGAAAGGAGAAAAACCAGAGAAACCAGCAATTCCAAGCAGAAGCTCAACGCCCTCCAAGGGATTGTCAGCAATCATCAACAAACCCGTCTATCGAGTCGGGTTGAGCAAAAAGTCGAGGATTGCGCCTTTGCTGAAGTGTTTGCGTAAGGAGTAAGGACTGTTGGCTTTTTGGGACTCAGCGAGGATGGTGGCTTGGTGATTGCATTTATGGCGTTGTATGACTTGTATCTGGTCTATGAATGGCCTTGGATCACATTCGATATCCGTTGCTCAGGGAGGTGAAGTTATAGGTGGTGGGCGAAGATACCCGCCTTGATTAAGCATGGCGTTCTGGTAATCATATTATGGGCATCAGGGTGATAGTAGCTAGGATCATGATGAGAGACTACTTGCTTCTTCTTACAGTAGAATTTATATTAAAAACTTTTTTATTATCACCTTGTATTCAACGTAAATCAGCAATCTGTGCATTCATTTGTGTTGTGGCTGTTATCAGCGCGTATATTCTGCCTCCAGTCCCCGAGTTGAAATAGAGCCCTTCTGTCATCTACCTCCTGTGCCTTGAGACAGATGAAATGGTATAAAACATCAGCTTTTGTCTCTATGCATCGAGCAAGTTGTTGATCCAGCATAACATCTTTTGTTTGACTGCTACTGCTTGGTGTATGCCTGATCAAACCGCAATTAGAGCAAACGACTGACAGCATCACGACCAGAAGAAGCGATGAGAAGCGAGAACTAACAAACAAGAACGTCAAATCAAGAATGCTCATCAAGCAGGGAGAGAGAGAGAGAGAGTGAGAGTGAGAGAAACGTTCCTGGAAAAGGATAAATACCCCAGACTCTCCCACTTCTGGATATCTTTCCATCTCGTCAACAATAACAACTTCACAAACACACTCCACTCTGATCTACTTACGACTACTCTGCACTCCACAACACATACACGCACACAAAACTTAACAAAATCTTCTACTCAATTCACCATTCATCATGTCTGGCGTCGAGAAAACCAACAACCCCATGACCAAGGATGCTGCGGCGCGGATCCAGTCCAACGAAGTAAGTCTTCTCCCCTATGCCCAGCATACAATTCAGTCCTCTCAAAACATATAGAGAAATACTTACACTCATAAAAAAGGCCAAGAATGGCAAGGACACCGGCTTTGACTCTCGAGCTCAGGCTGCAGCTGACAAGAACGCCAATGAGGCGGCTAAGCAGGGCAACGGACAGGGAGAACAGAAGAAGTGAGAAGTTGGATGCGAATGACTTTCGGAGGTATCGGTGAGCATCGATGGAGATTCGATTCGGTTGTGAAGAAAGGAAAGGGAATGGTTCTTGTCTACCTAGAAAGTGACCTATAGAGGTTACTTTATCACTCAATGGCAACAATTTGATGAACTAGATTCGGTAAACATGTCCCCTCTGATAACTTACTCCTTTCTCATAATGATTCTGTGAAGCACCGCGATGCCCATTCTTGTTCCAAGCCAAGTCTATAGAGATTTTGAGACTACGAGGCTTTCATATGTGCTCTATATAAGGTCCATGGTGTCTGACCGGCAGGCTAGATGTCAGAGGCTCAGCAGAACGTGGCAGTAGTAATATAAAATGAGTAGATTTCTTATTCCTGAGGACAGCCAATTTGGTGTTCCCGTTGTCTTCTGTCCTTTTCAGACTTCAGTCTTCTGTTTCGAAGTATTCATGTCATCACACACCCCTGAACAACTAACCACCCACATGTGATAGCTGGAGATAAATCACTAATTCCCAAACGCCCATTCGTAATGCATGCATGCTTCTGCATTGGGTTCCGGTTACCAACCATCCAAATCGACAGATACCTTTCCCAATAGTCACTTGACCACCTGATATTCCTACTTATTCCACCAACACGCAATTGGGTAGATTCTGTTCAAGTTAATTCTCATCATCCATTTGATGGATGTGCTTCTTGACAAACTCAAATGACGAGAAAAATATGGCGTTCACAACGCATGACCGGCTCATAGAAACTCCTAGGCCACGGTACATATGACGCTTGAAGAATTCGATCTTTGGCGCAGGTTCGACCTTTTCCCCTTTGGAATAGAGTAACGAGTTTCGCTGGTAGATGCTTTTGGCTGAATCGATCGGGTCTGTCAATTGTGAGTAAAGGGAATTCACAATGAGGTGCAGCTCATCTTACAGATCATTGCCCACGATACTAAACCACACATACCGCCAGCGGCAACAACAGCCACTTTGTTACTGTTGGGATGATCGCCAGCCAATGTATTTCCAATTTGTTTTCCGCTTTCATACACCATAAAATAGATAGCAGTGCCTAATGTGTCACGAACTGCAAATTGTTAGTCAGTGCAGAAGCCACATCATTCGAACGGCCACTCACGGAGATGAAGCTTCAGGCCAGTATACAGACCAAAAATACCCCGGTGTTTTATGATGTTCGCCATTGTCCGTAAGGTGCCCTTATTTTGGTAGCTAGCTGCCACAGCGTGACTGCCTTTATTGGTCGAACCGCGTTCAGCGAGCAGTACAGAGACCTGCGCACTGAGCTTGGTGAGCTCGAAAGGACAGGCGAGAAAGGTTATACAAGAGCCAGCGGTCGCACCAGCAGCGCCAAAGCATGCGACCGAGTAGAGATTCGGATATGTGCCAGGGCGATTAACATGGCCAATGATATCAAAGCCGAAGTTCCGCTTAACCCAAGCTGAATAAGAGTATTTGGCACGTTGGTAGATCGAAAAGGAGACGGTGCGGACAAGCGTTATACTTGCCATCGGTGCTGTGACGCCTGCAATGTCGGGTTAGTCAATTGCGACCGACTACACCCTGTCAATTGGCTGTAACATACCTCGAAAGAAGCCGCCAAGCTTCTCAGCATGATATGTTTTGCGAACACAGTCGAGAAATCCATTGTAGTGGTAGGTCTGCATGCGAGTCTTGACGCTGTCAAGTGGGAAAGCGGCGAGGGTAGAGAATACGCTGGAAGAGCTGGCTGCGATTTCTGTTCGGTAACGTTTAACAAAACGGTTGGAAGGGCTATTTTTCGGTACTGCAGAGACGGCCGCACCCGTTGCAGTCAAAGCCGTGGTCTCGCCATCGCGTCGCCCTCCAGCGCCGAGAGGCATGCTGATGGCAGAAGTTGTTGCTGGAGATAGTGACGACAATTGCGATTGATGGCCTGTGACATCTTGGTGGGCCAATTTAGCTCCAGTGGTCATTGCTTCCTCCCGTTCTCCGGGATAGAGAGCGATTGGACCTCAAACCGGAGCACCGACTAGAGGACACGGGCGTGCGCAGCCCAAGAGGTAGAATATAGATATAGTCGAGGTATAGCTTTATTTGGAGGCGCGGTCGAAACACGGCCTATCGAGAGCAGCCGTAGGGTCCATTCAGACGCGAGGCACCGGAGAGTCGAGTACAGGTACAGAGACGTTTGGATGGAAAAAGATGATCGGGTGGGTTTAGAGGACCCAGATCGGAGGTCGGGGGGCGGAGCGGCGTCGGGATATCGGTGGTGGGCGGCTCTTGACTTATGTCTCTGCACGGGCTCGGGCGTCCGGGTGCCCTCGGCAGAGGACGGCGACGACAACGGAAGCGACGATGCTGATGATTGCAGTTCCTTTACACAGAAGATCAATTAATGAGAAAAGATAAGAAGAGGAGAGTTGAAGGATTAAGGTCTGAGGCCAAAGGTGGAGATTGATCTAGTATGGGCAGCAGGAACTGACCTTACCTTATGGTGCGAGTTAATTGGTAGGAAAGGTAAGGTAGATCTTGACGGGAAGGAAGTGGTAATGGAGGACGGCATGCGTAGGCGGGGGAGGGAACGGGTCATGCCTGCGGACTCGCTACTTTTCTTCGGTGTCAAACTTCCAAACCAAACCAGATCAAACAGCCCCTCGGCCGGGAAGGAACAGCCCACCCACCTCAAGTTTCAGGGTCGCGGGGTTTGACCGAGCAAACAAAGGCACAATCCGACCGCTTTCTTGGTTCCTGGCTCCCCCTCGATGACACCTCTTCGAAGATCGTTTAGAGCTTCCGTGCCCTGTAATTGATCCCTCCCCTTCGCTGCGAGCTGCTATATCTCAGTGGTACATCATCTGCCGGCCGGGGGCGTTCATCACATGTTTATGGGGAAATGCTTGAGTTGACTTTATACTACGACTACGACTACGACTACGACTATGACTTTCTTTCACCAACGCTTCAAATTGAATCCTTGCCAATATTAAGACTCGAATACTCTCGCTATTGACTCCTCGGCCGAGATAATGTCCGTCGACCCATTTCCGCGGATGCAATAACACAACCAAAGTCTCAGTGTCCAAATTATGACCCGATATCCCATGTCATCAAGCGGACTTCAATGTCCGGGTCAATTAGCTTGCAACCGTCTCTTAGCTACTTACCTTACTTTGTGTTCGCCCAATAACAACCACTGTAAATCCTCACCCCGCAATCATAGGATGCATCATTTGGGGTTGGACAGCCGCGTTAACCTCAGCACGAAAGGCCTTCTCTTTGGCCGCTCCATTTTGTGCTTCACAAACGATCACCACCACCAGGACCTCAAAACTCCCAAGATCGACGCCTCTTGATGCATTCAGCCGTCGAGACATTTGGCTATGCATCATGCCTTAAAGAGTAGTTGACTCGGCAGGATAAAACCAACCATTACGACCACAATGATCGCGAGCAAACCATGTATGGTAATGCACACATCTCACGCATGGAGCAAGCAACCTCCTGCGCGAATGCAGCTGTGGCTTATAGTTTATAGAAGTATTGGTAGTCATCGTGACAGCTCGCACGCTCATATACTGGTACTGTAATTTATTCTACTCGGAGGACAGACATCATCCTTCCTCTCATGAGGTTCAGCAAGATGACGAGATCGCCACGGTAGACCCGCACACATCTCTCACTCGTGGGATCACTGATGTGAGGTCTGCAGCAGGGCTCGGCTTGCCTCTGGATGGTCTGTTCTCCGGCGAGCTCCAACTAGGAGAGCTTGACGAATCCCAGATCCAAGGTCTTCTAGACTACATATGCCACACGCCTGTGTCTCTGTTGACTCAAGATCCGGTTGCTGTCTCAGCTGGAGTATCCTCTGCTGGGGTTGCCTGGCCCGTGGTGCCATTATTAGGAGTATCATAGCTTGCCAGCAGACGCTCCTCTTCCTTCTTGGAGCGCACAGCCTCTGTCTCTTCACGAAGCTTCTGCAGATTCCAGACATCGTCATCTTCGTCATCGTCGTCGGAGTCATCCTCATCTCTCCACTTGCCACTCTCGAACAGAGCACGACCAGTGTTCTCCTTGGCCTTGCGGGCTTGCTCCTCGGCTGCCTTCTTGTCGAGGCGATCCTTCTTCCACTTGGCGAAAGTCTCGGGAGTGACTGGCGTAAGAGTACCGGTCAACTTGTGTCGCTCAGACTCCAAGAAGTCCTCGAGTGTGAGGGTCTTGAGTGGTGATTTGTCCATAAGCGCCTTTTCTGCTGCTCTTTGCTCTTTGGTCTTCAGAACGAATCTAAGTTTGGTGTTAGTGTAATTGCAAAGATATTTTGATGACAGAAGCCTTACCCAGGTGGCAGCGCATGCTTATATTTGCACTTATCTCCTCCGTTAGGGCAAATCCAGAACCAACCATACTTGCCGTCCTCAATAGCCTCGATGAAGTATTTGCACACTTTGTCGGTTGTGGTTTGCTGGTTGCCCTTCTTTGACAAAACGACACTTCGCAATTTGTCTTCGTCCCAGTCTGCTGAAGTTTCGGCCTTCTTGTTCTCCTCTTCCTCTCCCCTTGAATCGTTGTACAGGTTCTTCTTTTCTGTCTTACGCTCAACAGAAAGGTCGTGTGAAAACTTGCACTTCTTGCCCTTCTCACAGTTGCCTTTCTTGTAAAAGATGCAAACAACTGTCTTGGGGTCAACGCCAAAAGGCACCTTCTGGACTTGTGCTGGTTTGTTCATCATAGCCTCTAGATCCCTCTTGGCTTCTTCGGCCGCCTTCTTCTCACGCTCACGAGCCTCCCTCTCGGCCTGTTTTTTCTTCTCCTCGGCCGAGCCACTGTTCTTCAGGTTCGCCTGCATGCGTGAAATTTCCCTCTGGGCAGCACCTCCCTTCTTATTTTTCATACCGAAAGTTCGGTCCTCGACCGTTTTAGTGGCCTTCTTGGCCGCAGGCTCCTTACCCTTCTTGGGAGGCATGATGGGCAGTTGATGGTGGGGTAATCGTGGATATCAAAAAGATATTCGATGGGATTCGGACGATCGTGAGGTCCGTTGAGGGTTTCTGTCGAGGTATACGCCCACGATTTCGTGTTGGGAATGGCGAGAGGCTAAGCCACCAAATCTAGGTTGGAAAAAAAGACGAATGTCGAAGATTGCTGATAGTTGGTGGGCTGGGCCGCCTTGGTGTGGAGGATGAAGTCACAGCTAGTCACGTGTCTGCCGAGACTTTTCTTCGAGGGCAAGTGGCTCAACGTGTATAAGTGATTAATGCCTGTCTGGCTGGCTTGCCAGGCAAAGTATTATGAGTTACATTGTTTAACAGAAATCGAGTAGTTTACTTTCTCTTCATATGAATTGCGATAGGGACTAGGTAATTCTTGTCCGCAAGCGAAGACAGAATTGCGTACATATTGAAAGAAAAAAAAGTCATTCTCACCTTAGTACCTAGAAACTCACTCAGTTGCTTACAGTGGGGATAGTGTGTCGGGAAATCTTTCAACTGCGGGCCGCACTAAGAACCCCAGCAAGAATACGTACCTATCTTTGCAACGCGGACACTTTAGAGCTCCATCTGGCCAGTTGAAGCTCCATATCCAACATCTACAGATACAGCCTCGCGTTGATCCCATTACGCTGTCACAGATCATTCAGAGCATTGACTTCAATTCTGGTTCCTATCCAAACAACTCCCTTCTAGAATAAATACCTGGTTGGTACTATCAACGCTGGAACGCTTGCGCGCAGGCCAAAGTACTGATCGAGAATCAATCTAGCTCCCCAAAGCCTACGCAGCTTCCTGTTCATCACCTCCATCACCGCAAATATGATCTCAGACAACGATCTCTACCGACTCGCCATTTTCTTCGGCACTACAGCAATGATTCTCATTGTTCTCTACCACTTCCTCGAAGTCAACGCTGCGAAAGATCCGATTGAAGCCGGCAAGGAGGGAGCGCCAAAGTCACTATAATTGCACAGTACCACGATTACCGCGCATTGTAATTTTTTACGAGAAGGGAATATCCAGTTTGCAGGAAAGACTGCTCGGCGTTAAGGAGAACTCTTTGGACGAACGATGCCGCCTATTCGGAAAGCAGAGCGTGGGTTCGATACAACTAGACTAAGGGGACTATATGGATCTTTTGCTGGGAGGTTTTCAGCTATCTGCAATGCAATACTGGGAATTTCTTCCAACAACAAATTGTCTCGGTCGACTTGAAGTGAGGCAACTGGGATAGGAGATTTGATGGCACACGTCAACGCCAACCTATCACAGATGATATTTGCCTAGCACGAGCTATGCACGCATCCTTAGGCAGATTCTGCTAAGCAAAGAACAAACAACACATCTTTGTTGGTCGTTTGCTCCCCTCCTTGGAATTGCGCTCGTTTGCATTTGTGATGAAACTCTGTCTTGTCTGTGCAAACTGTCCCTTTTGATACATGTCCCTATTCGCATTGTAATTGGTACCAGATGTTTACAGTGTGGCGGTGCGAGGCTTGTTGCTACTAAAAGAGACTAGCTTTGACATGCGCCACATTCATACCCACGCGCATTGAGCTGATTAGGCAGTACGGAGTACCTTAGAGGGCAACAGAAGGAGCAGGAAGCAGTGCCCACCCCCGTGTTTTTCTATGCCTTTGTCTCTCTCCCTCCCTTGCCTCCTTCTTCCTTTCGACCTTCACCCAACTTCACTCAACTCAACCGATACACGCCCACTTCTCAACCCAGCCCAAACAATTTCTTATTACTCGGCCGCCTTAATAACTCTCGCGCGCCTTTTATTTCATCTCAAGCCTCTCGGACGTTTATTACCACCTTCTTTTCAAACTCCATTCCACATTCGCGACTTGCGCCCCCATCGAGCTCTAGTCTTCACCATACTTAATCGCGTCTTTGACACCAAATCGCACGTGTCATTCGATATCTTCTGCTGATTTGACCAACTGCATCAGCTTGAACAGCAGATACAGCCTTTTATCTCACGGGCCTATCTTTCTCAGCCCGTCTTTGACCTACTCTTACCCACTTCACAAACACACATCATCATGTCCGGCAAGCTCGACCAAGCTCTCGACGATATCACCCAGGCCCAGCGCCGTAGCGCTCGCCGCCGACCCAACCAGCGCCGTGGTGCCGGACGCCCTGCCGCGGCTGCACCCGTTGGTGGTATCCAGAAGAGCACCAAGCCCGCACGCGGTGCCGGCGCAAAGCCTGCCCCAGCCAAGGCTACTCCTACCAATAGTGATAGCAAGATCATTGTAAGCAATCTGGTAAGTCGCAAACACGGGTTTCCAATTGCATTCGTGTACTAATATTTCAATAGCCTAAGGACGTCTCGGAGCAGCAGATTAAGGTATGTTTCCGTTGCGGCCCTTGAAGCCCTCGGACTTTGTTCGACCTTTTCTCCTTCGCCGCTCTCATTTTTGCCTTCGACGTCGCGTCTTTCCGACTAGTTTGTCGACTTAGCTTAGGCCTGGAGCTATCGGACGCCCATCTCCTTCTTTGACTCTGTAAACCCTGGAATATGGTGCTATGTCAGAAGTCGAGATAACCCTTGTCGCGCAATGATACCTTAGGAATCGCCTGGTCAGCGTTCCTCGCCTAGGTAGCGCCGACTTTTAAGGGTGGAGGCTCGTCATGACGATATGCGTATTCTACCAGCCAAAGGCCAGCGAATTCCTCCGGATAAAACCTTTTGGAATCCTGCATCTACTTTAGCAAGCAAGCAGTGAGCATATACAGAAGCTATTCCTTGCAGATCTTGAGACAGAGTTGTGTCGGCTTGAAAAAATCCCCTTTTGGGGAGAACAGCGGGTTGCTTGTCTATTTCTCAGCAGACTCTCGAATACTACACTTGTAGTATACTTGGGCTGGGTCCAAGTTGTGGGTTACTATACGACTGAGAGCCATGTGGGTGTGGCCTGGTGCGCTTAAACTGATCTCAAATTCTTGCTGGGCGGACTGAGGGCTCTGTCTTTGTCTCACTGCTCTGCTTGCTAGCTGTCAACCAACATGATTTCCAAATCCTGGCGACGTGATACTCTCCCGGAACTGGAACGACCGAGGCTCGATGACGGAATGACGATTTTTGTTCAACTACACTTCGGAAGACTAACGCTATTTTCCCCCGATAGGAGTACTTCATCCAATCCGTTGGTCCCATCAAGCGAGTCGAGCTCTCCTACGGCCCTAACTCTCAAAGCCGCGGTATCGCAAACGTGACCTTTCATAAGTCGGATGGCGCTAGCAAGGCTTTCCAGAAACTGAACGGCCTTCTTGTCGACAACCGACCTATCAAGGTGAGCTATATCAGCGCCTCCTGTCCCATCAGTAACTAATTTGAACAGATCGAGATCGTTGTCGGAGCTGCCCAGGCTGACAAGGTCATTCCTACCGTCAAGACGCTTGCCGAGCGCACGACGTACGTGAAATATCTTCCCCCTTTCCAATCAATCACTGACCAGCGACATAGACAACCTAAGGCCCAACCCAAGTCCGCTGCTGCTGACAAGCACAACGCCGGTGCCGCCAAGGGTGCCGCTGCCAAGGGAACTGCTGGCAAGAAGCGCCGTGGTCGCAACAGCCGTCCCGCGAAGAAGACCCAGGAGGAACTCGACTCGGAGATGGCTGACTACTTTGACGCCTCGGCCGCCCCTGAGGCCAGCAACAATGCTGCTGCACCTGCACCCGCACCAGCTGCTACCGGTGATGCTGACATGGATGAGATCGCTGTATGTAATCTTATTCTTGATCTGTACGGTTGATACTAACTATGATGCTAGTAAATTCGTCAAAGCGCCATGGCAATGGCATGAGACAATGATAAATTACAAAAACAAGGGACCCGGTATTTTATGGGCATTTTGCGGAAGGATACGGTGGTTACTCGGTTTAGTGCTGCAGCAGATTGATCCGAAATGAAAGAGGAAGAGAGGCCTTCGAGGTCGGACAGCGGAGCAGCTGGTTTTGCATTTGTTACTGTTTGGTCTCAGCTCTCACCCTTGATACGTCGAACTCATCAATTCGGCAGCCATGCCTCAATGTTGCTTAGCCGCGACTGAGGGACCTGGAAATTAAATTGTATTGTACAACGGATGGAATAAGAAGCGCTTCATACACACAGATTTCTGTGAAGATATGATATAACATGTATCTCTGTGATAAAATATACGAAGGACTCGGCTTATTTTCTCCAGAATTATTCTTCGTGGTTGAGACATCCTATTCACTCACTAAACCGAGACTGATTAACTCGTTCGTATCTGAGACTCGTCAATCACCATTTCTAATCCTAACACAACGCCCATGCCAAGTCATGAAGGGGTCCAAATGTAGACCTGCCTCAAGCACGAGCCTTGAAATCATCAGGCTACCTTTTTGACGATCACATTGACCAGATTTTCAACACAATAATGAACACCGTGCGTGTGCTTAACAGTTTTTCCATTTTTTTCTTCCATATCGTAACAGGCAATGTAGTCTTGACTACATATCCGAAAAATACGCCTGCCTTGGTACGGCATAACGCCAACCAAAGTTACACAGCCTCATCCTGTACTGTAGTTCAGATATGCTCCTCTTTGGCAACGTCAAACATTCATAATTGAGAGATTTAGTCCTTCTTCTCGGTAGCAGCGGGGACAGCGGCGGGGGCGGCCTCCTTCTTGTCGTCGCCCTCGAGGGCAGGCATGTCGTCGTCGTCATCCTCTTCGTCGAGCTCATCACCAGCGCCTTCGGCACCAGGGAAGCCAGCACCACCACCTCCCAACTTGGAGAAGTCGATACCGCCAAAGTCACCACCCATGTCTCCCATACCAGGCATGCCGCCTATTGAAATTTGTTAGTCACAGGGTTCTGCGAGGCGCAATCAATCGGGATTTGTAATAGACTTACCCATGCCACCGAACTGAGAGAAGTCGTCCTCAGGGGCCTCGTTCTGCTCATCCTCATCAACCCACTTGTCGAAGTCGGTCTTGAGGAAGTGGACGCGCTTGGAGTCCTTGAGCAATCTAGGCCAGTACTCCTCCTTGAGCTCCTTCTTTTGCAGCTTTATCTCAACATTCTTGGCAGTGTGGTTGATCTTGCTCTCAGCGGGGTCGATCTCGCCCCAGAACTCGAGCTCGACATGGTACTTCTTCTTGAGAGTGGATGAGGTGCCGGTGAAGGTGAGCTTGGTAGGCTGAAGATCGAGAGTAAGGCTGTCCTTGGGCACATCAGGAACAGAGATGGTGAGGTAGATGAAGTTCTTGGAGGCGTCGGCGACGGAGGATCGCTGGGCCCAGAGGACTGCGGGTGGTTAGCGGGTGAATTGCAGGTGATACTGAGGGTATGCGCAGAATGCGATCAAGATTGCAGTCGTGGGAAGGAGTATCGGTAGATTGCATCTTGAAGGCGGCATCGGTAGAGGGAGGGGGAATACGAGCACAAGGCTGGGGCTGGACAGGGACGAACAATGACATACCTTCGGGGTAAACAGTGTCAGACATTGTGAAGGTTGAAGTAAAAGGGTATCTTGTCGTATCGCGAAGTTGCGTGAAGGAGGAAAAATCAGACAGAGGAGAGAGAGGGAGGGAGAGATAAGGAGAAAGAAGGCGAAAGATGTTGCAGATGCAGACGCAGATGCAGCAGAGAAAGAGAAATGGAGACGGAATGGATGAGTTTTTGGTGGGCGGAGGAGGTGCAGCTTTAGCTTCTGTACCTAGGCTAGCAGAGTGCGCAGTGGGAGGTGAGCGTACTTGATTCAATCAATCCGCCTTGAGGCTTCGCACGTTTGTCTGGTCACAGGCGGGATGGTAGAATGTCTAAGAAGGGGAGAGAATAGAGGGGCAATTGATCAGCAGATACCTCAGCTGCCACTGAAGTTATAGTGCTCCCCAAGGTACTCCCCTACCACAACTTTTGAGTGCCCGCTCTGACGTTTGCCCGCCCCTTGAAAGAGGCCGGCTTTTCTCCACTATTACTGGGCTGTAGCTCCTAGAAGGTGCTGGAGCTTTGTCACCTCAGCTGGAGGTTTGCTGCGTACAAGCAGCTGCGAGACGTAATCTGGGTGCAATTCCAGTGCAATTTCCGCTGAATTCTTAGGCTTCTTGCATGAGACTCAATAACAATCCCTTTCAAACAATCAAAGGCCGTTGATTGAAGTGGCTCTTTATCTCTGGATTAGCAATGGCAGCCTAGTCCTACCTACACGCGGCCGGCATTCGATGGCGGGGTAAGCACCTCACGCTGGAGTCGGAGGCGAGCCAGTGCTGATCTTAGTGCCAGGCTCCAGGGAAGCTTTCAGCAGACCTCTCACTGAAGCCCCTCCGGTCCCTGTTTTTGCTCGCGGGCCAATGAAACCTCGGCCTTCCTATCACCTCAGCCTTGAGGCTAGTATCGGGCGAGCCTCACCACCATGACCCAACATCATCAACGACTGGCTGCGGCTGATTCGACGGCATCAAGACGCGTTGAAGTCTGGTAGTACTACGGACAGTTTAACAGACTTCTCATCTCGAACATACAGATTACTGTGCTGTACCGTACTTGCACCTCCGCACGGATTCTACTCCGCCATTTGGCCATCTTTACAGTTGCGTCATTGGCGCGGGCATTTTCTACTTCATTGTCCATCCAACCGCCACCATGGAGACATTCAAATCTCTTTTTGCGAAGCCTGATCCCCAGGCCCAGGTACACACACCGGTCTATACCTTATTCCACATTATTGTCTAACATGTCTGGCTGTAGATGCGCAAGTGCAATGCGTTGATGAGGCAAAACATCCGCAAGATCGATCGAGATATCCAGACTGTGAAACAAGTCGAGTACAAGACCAAGAACCTCATCCTCCAAGCCGATAAGCGAGCCCAGCGCGATCCATCCCGCGCCAAGCAAGCCCAACAAGAGGTTCGCGACTTTGCGCGTGAGCTCGTTCGCGCCCGAAAGACCTCAGCACGCCTCATCACATCCAAGGCGCAGCTCAACTCGGTGCAGATGCAGGTACAGGAGGCCTTTGCTGTGCGAAAGATTGAAGGATCCATTCGAGCGAGTGTCGGTATTATGAAGGATGTCAACTCGCTTATCCGTCTACCGGAACTGGCTGGTACCATGCAAGAACTGAGTGTGGAGTTGATGAAGGCGGGCATCATCGAGGAGATGGTCGAGGACTCGCTTCCTGCTGATGGTGATATGCTTATGGAGGACGAGGAGGCCGACGGAGAGGTTGACAAAGTCTTGGGAGAGATCCTCAAGGACCGCAAGCAGCCCACTCTCCCTGTGGCGCCTGTACCGGAGCCACAGAAACCCCAGGAGGAAGAGGAGGAGGAGGAAGATCCAGAAGCTATGATGGACCAGATGCGCAACCGGTTAGAGGCTCTTCGAAGTTAGTGTGCGTTTGGCGATGAGACTTTCTTGGTTGGCTGTTGCTTGAAGATGCCAGTTGTTCTTCATCATGGGAGGAGTTGGGGGCGTTTGGCGTATCTACAGTTTTGGCATACACTTGATCCTACAAAGACTTGTTGAGGACTATAGGGTTGGCATCGCATTGTCCGTAGTTTGCACTACGACGAGATATATAACCGTGTTTCAAATGCTTCTTCATCCTATTTGCTGTGGCCACCATGTGAGGTCTCGTTCCGATTTCGATCAACTGGCCACTTGATAGGGGTGAGTATCATTTCAAATTCACATATCGTGCTTGCGATGTCCGCATGCTCTGTCTTTGTAACCCGGCCGTACTTCGAAAATCATTATCGAGGCGTACTGCAGTCTTCGAAGGAGTAACATTAACTTACGGTTTGGTCTTGGAGTCACAGAGCACCAGGTCCAGAGCGCATGTGACAACTTCGCAAATAGTGAGCACATATAGCCAAGTTCAAGAGTTTCATGCTTTCATATGTTCCAATATCAACTTAAGCTCATTAGAAGAGCGGTCAACATTCCCGTTTTGCTATTGAACGTGTCACTGAGTACTGAGACTTGACGTTCTGGTGATAAGTGCATAGATGTAAGAACGGCGGGATTGCCTTAGAGCCAGATATCAAGAATGCTTTGCCCTGCTAAACTTCTTTGTGGGGGATACTACAGTGTTTACCGGGTGCTTCCTTGTCGTTGAGTTGCTCAGAGAGCAAGTCCAAGAATCCAATAGTCAGCATATTTATCGTCGTCCAGTTTGTGATGTGCTAAGACATCAACTTGTGTGGTAACTAAGCATCTTATGATAAATTTCATCAAAATCTTCTTCCGTTTATGGAGTACTCCATTGTACCTAGCAGGAACACTGGCCATTGTATCTATACACGGGGCAAGTTTAGCAGACATGGATGAATCAGTTCAAGGCCTTTGCTAGAACTCAACATCAACCTTCCAGGTTTCGAGGTGGTATGTGCTTTGTTTTCCGTATGATCCAGCTCTTGGTCTTGTCCAGAAACTGTCAGTGCGGATAACTGTTTGCCTTTTGTTCATTGAGTGTGTGGATAGCCACGGGCGAAGAGAACAATGTGTTGGCTGTCTCTTCTCACATCCGCAAACGGTACTGTAGTCGATAGACTAGACGCAGATTGATTTGTTTCCTCGGGCTTGAGCCATAAACCCGATATTTGGGTGTCTAACTTAACTCCTCTCACTATGTCATCAGATGAACCTTCATACCCAAACATTATCAACGTGTCGAATGATATCTAATACTTAGTCAGATGATACCACGTCTGGTCCAACTCAGAATCCACCGATGATACCTATGAATGCGCCCCCAGATCTATTATATGCAGTGTATTCGAGATCACATAAATATAGTAGCCTACCCTGAAGCACATGATGCCTCGAGGTGAGCGATGCCAACAACCAATGCTTCAGAAGCATTGTGACACGGGGAACAACTCTAGTTTCGGCCGAATGCTGGTTTACCCGATGTCATCGTGGTGAACAGGAGGAAACAAGCAGGTTTGACCGATGTGTTGTTGTTCACACCGGATAGTCACGTCCGTAGATGGCCTCACTTCACCGTAATTAACCCGCTGCCACGACCACTACCACAACCACAACCACAGGACCCAATTTGAGAAAAATATCCATCGCCTACGCTGTGACACCCTACAGTCACGTCACGTCACAGAATCAATTAAAAAATTTTCATATGTGACTCATTTCCCAAGGACAGCTGCAAGGGACCAGACCAGATATAGCTGCTGTCGTGTAAGTTAGACCCGCCAGCTCAACACTTTGACGATGGAGAATGCGCGCCAACTGCAAGCCAGCGCATATAAGCAGGTCTGTATAACCTGAATATTGGGAAAGTGCATGCATGAGGGTTATTAGTGTCGTTGCTGTGAGTAAGAGTGTCTGCATGGCTGGTTTCAAAAGGCGGTATGCTGGCCGGCTAAAGGGCCTGTATGGCTACGGCTGTAGCTACGGCGAGCTGAATTGATGCGGTGAAGCTTGAGTGTAGCAGAATCTTGAAACACATTGATCGGTGTAGGATAAAAGAGTCAAGTCAAGCCAGCGACTCGAGATGCATATGCAGCAGGGCGAGGCTGCATGAGAGAACGCACACGCATTGCAGTGCAGTCGAGGGCGTGTTGTTATCTCTTTTACCCGGCACTATCCATTCACTGACTTTGACTCTGATACTGACACTCAGCTTGCCTGACCGCTTCTCAAAGCACGATTCAGCAAGGTGACAGCTCACAAACAATGTTGATGCGAGAGGATTTAGGAAAAGAAAAAGTATATTCCAATAAATCAGTAGATTAATCAGGGAATCACAGGGTCAAAGCATAAGAAACACCGATTGTTTCCTCCCCCTTACTCAAGCAGCAAGCAAGGGCAAGAAAAGTAAAGCGCCGTCGTCTCGTCTCGTTGTTCGTGTTCATATGTATTCATGTTCAGAGCGGGAACTAAGAGGATCTCCCCCCGTGGATCGATTCCTTGGCCGAGAATCACCCACTGAACCCTGGGCAGGGAGGTTTTGCTTCTGCGTGGGGGGAGAAGAGGAGCCTTTGGTGGGATGTGATAACAAGAACGAGGCCAAGTGTGATTTGACGCGACTTGACTTGATGAGCTAAAGCAACGGATGCGAGATCATCGGGACGGTACGGCAAGCACCTGATCCGAGCCTAACGCTCTTGCCGCGTGAGACATGCTCTAATTATACAGGGGCAAACAGTTTTTCAAGTTCAAAGTGCAACGAGTTTGTTGGTTATGGCTTTGTGAGGCGTTGTATCGGCAGTTTGTTTGTTGTATTGAATAGCGGCATGGCGCTGTCACGATATGTCACATCCAATCAAAGGCCCCCCAAAAATTGAGAGAACAAAAGAGACAACTATCCCCTCAAGCCCTCAAGCCCTCAAACCCCCAACATCCATGGCTTGCGAGGCGCGAGGCTGCAGCGGGTGATTGCTCTAGCTGCTTCGTGCCTGAGGAGAAGACGAGATTAGAGCTCTCACTGCAGTTGATGTTGGCTTGACGTGCTGTGCTGTAAAGCGGTCAACCCCACGAGACCGCCTATACACCCCCACCCAATATCACTTCAGCAGGTGGCATGCCTCACAAGAAGTGATAGATTGGGTGCCTTTGCCAACACCAACACCAACAGGGCTGTACTGTATCAGGAGACGGCCAGCTCAAAACACTCAGGCCGACTTCGGATGAGAATACAACCCAAATTCGATATCACATCTTGGGCTCATAGACAGGGGTGTGTACCAGAGTATCGAATTTGTTTCGATGACGGCATCATAAGGGGGGAATGAGAAATTCCTGTCATGGAAAGCTCATTACACATTTTGAGTATTATGATTCCTCGATAGGAGTTTATCATAACGCCTTGTCGCTCAGTGACATGTCTATCATGACGATCAATACTGTTGTTGAAGAACTCACTTCCCCTCCCTACTGGAGCAAAACAAACGAACTGTAGCAGATGCCATAATTGGAGGCAAATACCCCGGAATGATGAAATAATCAACTCAATTACCCTTGAGCATAATTAGATTAATCGTAGTTGATGGTTTATGCGTTTTTCCAACTGCCTACCCCGGATTCTCAGGTGATCGATCCCCCAGATGACGAGGCGTTGCTGGCTGACCTGGCTTACACCCAATTTACATGCTACATGGTAATCGTCATCGCCATCGCCAGCCTCAGCCTTGGCCTCAGCAACTCAGCCCCAAATACAACACGAACTGAGAATGCCTGTAATAATCACACCGTACGTAGTTGTACCTCACAAGGAATCACCACGTAGCAGGCAGGCACCAACGAAACATTGGATTGTTACAGTTCGGGGGCCAAGCCAAGCATCACGGGTCCAAGATACGATACTGATAGCGTAATCAATCAGACTGCGGAACTCCGGGACGATGAACCTTTTTCAACTGTACATTCGGAGGCGAGAGATCCGAGCCAATCTCTGGCCAAAACATGGGGGAATGCGAAGAGTATGTACATAGGTATTAGGGGAGCACAACGCGTAGACATTGTACAGTAAGCAGCCGCGGCGTCCGTGTCGCGAATGCAACTTTGATGCTATTCCTAGCAGACGTAGCAGTGACTGGGACAGCGAAGGAGTGAGCAATTCGGAGACCGTATTATCTCAGCCTCGGCGTATTACAGAGTGAGCATTGCATCCGACATGGCATCATATCATACCCCGACAGTGCAGCCAAAATTCATTCATCTCATCAGCGACAAAAGCCACAGTTCGGTTTCGCATACCATTTCTGCCATTTGCGCCGGATATCTCGAGATGAGTGAGATTGGCAGCGACATATCATGTTTTCAGCGTGCACAACGTACGTCATATTGATCTCTTTCTGGATATTTCCCACGACGCGGGTTTGGAATCGTGATCCTGGGGTAAATCAGAAGGGATCTGTCCAGGCTTTGGACGAAAGAGGTAGCCAGTTGCGCTGAGTCGTGGCGTAGGCGGCGCTCCCACGTTGTGGCGTACCTACGTACGTACGTATACTTCATACCTCGGTGACATGCTTCGTCTCGCAGGTTCCTTGGCAGTGAAATGACTGACTGACTCTGTTGTTTTCAATAATTGCTTTCTCCGAGGTTGCATCAAATTCAGGAATCTCAAATCAGCTGCGTCAGGATCATTGTTGCCTTGCTGTGGCCGGAAACAAACAATGGATGTCTCAGCGTATGCAGCGAGAGAGTCAGAGACAATAACATCAATAAAACCTGTTATCATCTGTGACAAGTCTCGGCCAGAACCAGATATCGTAGACGTGTTTAATTGATTCCATTAATTAATTACGATTCAGTTCTTTTGAAACTATTGAATGTCGAGGAACTCACTGATCAACAGTGCATACTCATACTCACCCTGACCTGACGGCCATTCCGTGGATGATGCATTATCAATGATGAATGAAACGTCA